TATATATATTTAAACTTTTTTCAAATATACAGATCTTACTCAAGACGTTTTTATTTCGTACCAGCTCCAAGTTTTTAATTTCAAATTAAAAAGGGTTGATTTGAAATTTCAAAAAGTTTATTTTAATTTAAAAACTTAATTTTAAATTAAATAAGGTTAATTTGAAATTAATAACTAAATTTTAAATTAAATAATGTTAATTTAACATTAAAAACTTAATTTGAAATTAAATTAAGTTAATTTGAAAGGAAATAAGGTCAATTTGAATTTAAAAAGTTGATTTGAAGTTAACATGGGTTCTTTTGGAATTAAAAAAGGACAATTTCAAACAGAAGAATATTTTGAATCAAATCGAAACGATTGCAGCCTTAAATTGTCAAAGTTATTGGGCCCCCAAAATTATTATATTTATATGTACTACTCCACTTTTTTCGTTCTGTTAATTCATTCGTTTACAAAGCTTTAAAAAAATTCAATCGTAATTTTAACTAAAAATGTTTTGAAATTCCATTATCCTAGTAGGTTTTTACAAGGCAAAAGTTAAAGATTTGCATAATAAAAGGTTTTTCGCATGGGAAATACGACCGTAAAGGAAAATTTACATTAAATCGAAAGCCGAAAGATGTACCTCTTAGCCTTAAACCACTGAATTAAAAAAAAATTAATAGGTATTTCCAAGGCAAATTATCTATAGTCTAAAATCCAAATCACTATGTAAACCCATATTTTGCCTGGATTTGAGTGTTGCCAAGGTAGAAAATTCGAAAAAACTCTAGAGATCTCAGGGCCCAAAGAAAGTATAGTTTGGTCCTTTTCTATGATTCTAGTTGTCTCTGTAGTTTAAATAATAGACAGACCAAAATGATCGGAAATGTCTATTATCCCGCACTTACATAGAGAACATTAATGGACCGAATGAGAAACGTAGAAATATTGTTTCAATTAACAGTAGAATGTGTTGTTTCGGTTGGATTTTGTCTTCAAAATCCTTTGTAATACTTCTGAAATATTTGAAACGATTTTAATCAGTTGTAGGGGTACGTTGTCACGGCTACATTACGAAAGGTAGCCCGGCCGTTAAACCTTGCTTAATCCTCCGAGAAAAGAAGATTATATGGATTTTTTCAATGAAATAACAAAAAAAGCAAGTCGCTACGTGTTTTAAGAAATATCGAGGATTAATCAATTAAAGAAGATTTACGCGGTCGGTATTAAAATTGTTTGCGGATCGTGTTCTTCCATTTATTTGTTTCAAACCCAGACCTCGATTAAACAGGAATAAGCCGGGGAAAAACTCGGAGAAAATTTGTATTGATTTCTTTTCGCCATGGAAATGCGTACCTACATAAAAAAATGAGGAATTTATTCGACAAATGTGATAGAATCCGATGAGGCATTATTTACGAAAGGATTCAGTAAGATATAATCTTTTTTGTCTGCAGTTATTTTGACCATTTCTAAAAGTTTAATAACATCGAGGATTACGCTATCGAAGTTTGTATTTATTCTTCATGAGAAATTTATATTTACTCTTCCAGGTTATTTTTACTTCTTGTGTTATAATAGCTTCCAGCTTTGGGCAATTCACGTGGCATCAAAATCGGTAAATTTGTAAAATTAAAATAAGAAGGGGGTTATTGAATTTTCAAAAACTTCGTATTATTTATTATAAGAAAGGATTTTTCAAATTAGTTACAATTGTCTTTAATTATAATGAAATTTGTTTCATGGTCATAACTGACCATAAAAATTATTCTTTTTTTCTAAGGTTTTTGGTTGAGATGAAAAATTAATGTCACGAGCGGGATTCGAACTAAAGTAGTACTAACTAAAGAAGTAATTACTTCACTACCAGCTCTCCGTGGCCACTTCATACGTCGCCGAGAATCGAACCCTGATTACACGACATTTGAAAATATGGCAAAAAAAGGAAAAATTCGAAAGGTTGTAGGTTAATATGAGGAATTGGTGTCCGAGAGGATCGATGTCACGATAGCTCAAGTGGTAGAGCAGCGGTGTATCGAGCCGAAATTCATGGGTTCGAATCCCGCTCGTGACACTAAATTTTCATCTCAACCAAAAACCTTAGTTAAAATAATAATAATAAAGTGGGAAGTTTATGGGCCGACGAACAGCTGAGGTCATCGCCGGCCCTCTGCGGGTTTTCCTTCTTTTTCTCGTCTTTCGCACGTATTTTGTTTTAACTGCAGCCATTTGAGCTCTCGTTACTGACTCTGATTTCAGATACATACTAAGTTGATATCCTAGAATGCTAGTCTCTGGTTTGTACCTCAGTTTGTCAAATACAGAAAAGAAACAAAACATACAATAAACATATATACATCACCACAAACATAGATATCTGGGCACATACACTCATCCCAATTAGTCGATATTCCTTGGAACGGGATTATAAGCAACTCCTTCCTTTCACGCTAATAATTACTGTTACTCTCCAGACGTCATACACTCACCCCAGAGTACTCGATATTCCTCGGGGCGGGGTTATAAGCAACCCCTTCCTTTCACGCTAATAAATTACTTTTACTCTCCAGACGTCATACACTCACCCCAGAGTACTCGATATTCCTCGGGGCGGGGTTATAAGCAACCCCTTCCTTTCACGCTAGTAAATTACTGTTACTCTCCAGTCGTCATACACTCACCCCAGAGTACTCGATATTCCTCGGGGCGGAGTTATGAGCAACCTCTTCCTTTCACGCTAATAAATTACTGTTACTCTCCAGTCGTCATACACTCACCCCAGAGTACTCGATATTCCTCGGGGCGGAGTTATGAGCAACCTCTTCCTTTCACGCTAGTAAATTACTTTTACTCTCCAGACGTCATACACTCATCCCAAAGTAGTCGATATTCCTCGGGACGGGGTTATAAGCAACTCCTTCCTTTCACGCTAATAAATTACTGTTATTCTCCAGACGTCATACACTCACCCCAGAGTACTCGATATTCCTCGGGGCGGAGTTATGAGCAACCTCTTCCTTTCACGCTAATAAATTACTTTTACACTCCAGACGTCTTACGCTCACCCCAGAGTACTCGATATTCCTTGGGGCGGGGTTGAACCCTCCCCACTCTCGCTAATAACTTATTTTTACTCTCCAGACGTCTTAGTTAAAAAAAAAAAATTAATTGGAATATATATATTTTACATTATATTTATTCATAATATAATTTAAAATTTAACCAATATAATTAACATTTAATTTAAAGAGATTAATAAATCCAATAAATACGATAAATGTAAATCCGAATTACAACCACCTGAACAGAAAGTGTACTAAAAGGGTACTATATATGGTACTAATAGTAGGTAGTACATAGGGTATGTATTATATATGATAGTAATAATATTAATAGTATGGTAAGACTAAAATGGTTACTGTCAAATTTGAAAAATTGAAGTTTCAAAACATCCTTTTATCAGAAGAAATAAATTGTTAGAATTAGAAATTCAATTTCTGACACCTGGTTCCCCCGTTACTTAACCCAACAAACCACCTTCCGACTTCCTACCATCCCATCAGTTCACTTCAATCCTTGGCAAATCCCTGGAAAAACTTTGAAGAGCAAATCCCAATAATATACAGCGTGTTCGTCTACTCGTCTTACAAACTTTGCCAGTAGATTCTACATTCAAAATGGAACCAAAAGGTCCTAATTAACTATGGTCCGGATCTCAGCAGTTCGGAGTTGTTCCACTTTTTTCTGATTTTTTAAGATTTCACGGCCTTGCTTCAAATAAACATTGATAACTCCAAAACTAAAAGTTTTTTTTTAAATTTCCATCTTGCCAATCCGTCACCCACGGTTTTTCCTTTCTTCCATCAATTTCTTCATCATTGAAAATGTAATTTAAAAAAAAATACACCACTAAAAAGGATATTAAATAGAATACGTTTTCTGAAATTTGCTGGTCTCTTGGTTTGGAAATATGTAGTAGTTTAGGATCAGTTATTTATTCAACTTTGAAAAAAATATATTTTTCAAAGTTCTCGAAACCAAAACGCTTATTTCACGATCGTTTACAAAGTTAGAATGGATCACATCTTACTGGAAATTTAACGTAGTTTTCAATGGTATCAGCAGATTTGTCCAAAACCTTTTAGTTTTGGAGTGATTATTGTTTATTTGATGCAAGGTCATGAAATCTTAAAAAAATAAAAAAAAATCAGAAAAATGGATTAACTCCGAAACTGTTGAGATTCGAACCATAGTTAATTAGGACTTTTTGGGTCCATTTTGAATATAGAATCTACTGGCAAAGTTTGTAACACGAGTAGCCGAACACGCAACATAATTACCAACTATGAATTTAGATTTAGGATATGCCATTCTTCCGTTCAACTGTGCCATCGCGTTCTGGACATCATCGCATCCTCCCTTGGGATGAATGCTGCTCGGGGGCATTCCTCGATATGAAAAAGGCGGATATCATATCATCTACAGACTTCTCATCCTTAACCGCTACCAAGGCTAGCACGTACTTTACAGTATGGGTCTGTTCACTCACAAGGCGGCACAGATGTCCATCAGGGAAGCGTCTTGAGTCCGTTACTGTATTCAGTACATTACTGATATACCTTCCCATACCGACAGGCTATATGAAGACACTGCCATTCTGCACCAAAGACTTACAGGTAATACTCCATACACGCCTATATTCCAGTGAACAATGGTTAAAAAAATGCCGAATTAAACTCAACACAAAATCCCAAAACATAACCTTCATCCTCTGCAACCACTCTACCTCCAATATATTATAACCTCACCCCTTTCCGACCAAAAAAGTCACCCGCTACTTTGGGCTGTATCTTGACATGCGACTAACCTGGAATCCCCATATCATGAATTAAAAAGACAGAAATGAACCGACCATACTTAAAATTCTGTTAGCCAAAGATCTAATCTCTCCCTTTCTTTAATTGTAGGCGGAGGAGTTCAAGACCTTCAGCGCTGCTTGAATGTCTGAGAATATTCATACCTGTGAAAAGATGTCAATACTTCAAGACGTTATCCTATATGTCTAAATGAACTAAAAAGCCAATATTGTCACTTGTATTCTAGTTATTTCTCTTTTCAGGTTACTTTCTCACTTTATTCCACAAAATCTATTCACGTCTATCGAAGTGTTAATCCTATTGTAAATTTTATTATACCGTTGGAAAGAGTATTAAAAACTGTATGAGATTCGTTTTTTTATGGTAACCATATGCAAACTAAATACAAAATAATTCAAAAGATAAACTTTTACGAGTTTCCGGTTCTTTTGTCTAAAGTTTAGTAAGATATTCTTCGTTCTCGAATACTGAAAAACATGGTGCTTACAGAAACGTTTTCCCTATTAATGAGCTGTAAATATATATACGTAATTTCTCAAAGATCAGTTATCACTAATTAAAATTGTTTCAATGGTCACATTTAATGGTTAAAAATTTAATTTTTTGACTAAAACAGTTCAAAATAATTACATAAGATTTTTAAACTTCTCTTAAAAAACGTTGAAAGTTATACAAAGTAAACAAAGTTTTTTTGGTACAAAATTGAATGCAAGGAAAAAAACAAACACTTGAGAGCAGAAAAAATTGACAAATTAATTTTTTAAAGATTTTTTTACGAGGGTTCGCAACAGCAGAGGTCGTATAAAGGGTGCCGGTGTTTTTGAAAAAAAGCCCATTTGTATGTCGGGTTCGAATGCAGAGCTGCTGGATTCGAACCCGGGATCTTTACCTTCCAGTGATGAGCGCCGTGTCAACAGTTGCTTAAACCGTTGCGACCACCGACGCCCCCTTTTTGTTTTTTCTTATGTTTAATTTTGTGCGAAAGAGTATTTTCGTTTTTGTTTTTACTTCTAATACTTTCATTACTTATTAATAAAAGTTTCAAAATCGTAATGAATATTTGTTTTAACCGTTCGTAACTAATGAAGAGCAACTTTTCTGTATGACCATATCTGTCATTGTCATTATATTTAAACCTAAGAATATCTCCTAAATTTTGCTGGTTTTTTCCGTTGATATTACAGTAGTAGTAGAAATTTCTAATTGCCGTAAACTTTAATCAGATCTGACGTGAACCAGATATTTACCAGATGTCAAAAAATATATGAAGAATCTTTGCTGGAAAGATTGGCAGAACCGCTGGGACAAAATGACCGACAAACTAAAAGAACTAAAACAGTCGGTCAAACCGTGGGCCATGGATAGTATGAGCAAAACAGAGAGAATAATATTGACCCGACTGCGAATAGGCCACACTAGACTGACGCATGGTCATCTCTTGGCGAGGAAAAGTCCACGGAGATACCCATTGTGCGGCGCACAAATAACTGTTAAACATTTACTAACCGAATGCGAACTACTGGCGCCGCACAGAACAAAGTGTGGCTTTCCTCGAGCTTGAAAGAGGTTTTGCAACACAGCAATAACAACAGCAAGAAAGTAATCAAATATCTGAAGCAAATAAATGCATATGGTCGCCTTTAAGGCTTCTCCACACGTGGTTTCATTTTCCCTTCCTGAAGTGAGTGTATTTATTGGCGAGAATGTGTGAGTGTATGGGTGGGTAGTGGTCGGAATATCGAGTACCCCACAGACCCACCAAACTAGGATAGATATCTCTTTGTGTGTTTTTGGTAGAAAGAATGTATTTATTGGCGCGAAAGTGAGTGTGTATGGGTGGGTTGTGCAGGAATATCGAGTACTCCACAGACCCACCGATTTAGGTTAGTATTATGCTATAATATCTTTTAGAGGGGGAACAGGGCGGAGGCACTGTTTTAATATTAAATGCGCCAGTGGCTCCGCATTTTTTAATTTGTAAATACAGAATGATTGGTTACTGTTTGAGTGAATGTATTTATTAGTGCGATAGTAGTGTATGCATGGGTGGGTCTATGGTGGAATATCAAGTACCCCATAAACCCACCACCTAGGTTAACGTTTTAGATTAATTGTAATTTTAATTGTACATAATGTATGGATGTATTTATTAGCGAGAACGAGGGCGGGTCTTCAGAGGAATATCGAGTACTCTGAAACCCGCCTATAGGCTAGGCTAGGATTGAATGTTAGTGAATGAGATAGTTTCAGAGCCTTTTCACCACGTGTGGGAGGGCTAAAAATGTAGAAATAACGTCCCAGAACACAACCAGAAAGATCGCCAGACTTCCTACAGAAAAGCTAATTAAAAAAAAAATTAAATAAATAAATAAAAATAGATAAATTTATAAAACGTGCGGTGGAAGAAATGTGAGGTGCCGGCAATAACCCAGGCAGCTAGCCGGCCGAAAAAAAAAACAAAAAAAAAACAAACAGATATTTTATGAGATACAGGGGCTTTATAGAAAAAAATTTGAAAGGTTAAGTGATCTGAAAGTTAAATATCTCAAAAACAATTGAGATTCAGACTTTGGACAACCTACTGTCGTTTTGTCGTCTCTTTATGGGACATCCTGTTGTATATGTGCACATTTTAATCCTTTTATAAGAATTCCTTGTGCACAGTTTTATTGCGTGAATCTCCGATAGGAAAATCGATTGATTGATTGATTGATTGATTGATTAGTAGGTAAGGTTAGGGTTAGGATTCGTGATTCACAGTTACTTTCGTGATGCGATGAAGATATGCGAGCGTTTTAATACGCAATTAATCCTCGTTTGCTAAGTGAGTATAAAACGAGTTGTAAATTGCAGTATAGAAAATTTTGATGTTTGTTGTTCGGCTTCTAGTAATCGTATGAAAAAACTTGCATCCTCTCAATATCTCATCGTTACACGTTGAATTCATTATAACGGCTGTGAAACTTGCGAGACGGGGGTGAATAAAGAACCCGAAATTGGAGGGCTGTTAGTAAAGTTTGACTAGGAAATTTTACTTTTTTCATCTCAGATATTCAACGGTGGGCTCAACAATAACTAATAATGTTCGTTGCGCCCCTGCTAAAAGGGGAGCCTCGATAAAATTATAATTATGCCCGCGTGAAAAGACGGAAACTCGTTTACTAGATTTTCCATCCGAAGAAGCACGTACATTTCAACGAGCACCTGAATTAGCCGGATCCGAAAAGCAAAAAAAAAATACGATCCGCTTTCCGGACTTGGGCAAATTAGACCGAGACTTTTTGAATTTTTTAGATTTTTAACATTCCAACGATAAAAGGACGTAGTGCATTCTTCCTGACAGGAAATAAACACACATACACTCATACAGCTAATACTGATTTATTCAGCTTCATTTAAGGAAAATACTCCTTCCAAAAATTTTAATAAAAATTCATATAAAAAATTCTATAGATTGTATAATAAAAAGAACAAATTCTTGAGAGGCTGTAGTTGTTGTAGGTATATGTATAAAATAAGTTGTGTCCTGTCATACAGGAGCACATAACATCAGTAACATTTAAAACTTTAAATAAATCGTTATTACCAATTAAAATTTCAATGTTGTGCCGGGATTCGAATCAAAACCTATATCGGGGTAAATATTAGTCGGACGCCCAACCTAGCTAATATAAACTAGAAGGATTAGTTTGACACCAAGTCCGTCAGGGAACTGAATTCTCACCTTATATACGCATTAAGGCGGGTGTCCCTCAAGAAAGCATACTTGGCCCAGTTCTATTTTCAATATACACTGCACATATTCCTAGACATGTTAACATTTCAACACATACATTCGCTGATGATACAGCGATTCTTCACGTAATTCGGACACCTCAATTAACACACTAAAACACCTGAATGAATTAACAGTACGTTGAGAATGAAGATAACCCTAACGAAAAGCGTACAGATAAATTTTACCTTACGTAAAAATATCCCATTACCTACCATTGACCTTGTGATTTATCTTGGACTTTTCATGGATACACGACTGACTTGGAATCCACACAAAAGAATGAAAAGGCAGCAAACAACACGACGTTGTTTTAAAATTGTTAAAAAAGACTACTTGACTCACAATCAAATTTATACACTGAAAACAAACTTTTAATTTGCAAGATGATTAGACCTCTCTGGGCGTAGGGCTCATCCAAGGATTCCAATTCCCAACGTCTCCAATCAATCTAATCTAAAATTCTCCGTCAAATTATAAATGCTCCTTTTTACGTTTCAAATTACACTAATCATAACGATATACACATCCCGTTTGTACATGAACTCATCAAAACCAGTTATAAAAAAATTCATCATCAGTGAACACACACAGTAATCTATTGGTACGACATTAATCACTTCCAACCATACCTGAAAATCCTCCAAGACGATAAAAGCGAAAGTGGCCCCGAGACCTTTTCATTGAGTGAAGACTGTGCAAGTTATCGGGTGAAGTAGGGTTGCCACTGGGCAACTCCTCCTACAAGAGTCTCAAATGATAAATTCAACATATATGAACAGATTTACTTTACAATATTTGTAGTTGTAAATATCAAATAAATGTAATTAAAAAAGTAGATTAGTATATAAAAGACACGTGGAAGATTTTTTCATTGCAATTCGGCTCCTTCGATTTACAACGAGAAATAACCTATAGTTTTAGGTGGTTTCAAAAAATGCTGTTGTCTAGTGGACAGCTGTAGCAGTTAACCCGGGGAACAAGTTTTTTGGTGGTGGGTGTTGGGAATTGTTTCGACGGTTCGCGAACGTGGAGAAAAAGATTCGGTTCAGTTGTGCGAATGTGATTCTGCATAAAGTCTGTAACGGATATGATGATCTTAAATCAGAGTTGGGCAAAATCTAACTAATTCAATCATGATTAAGAATTTTGATTGAAGTTTAATCATGATTGAATTAGTCATGAGTAAATTAATCATTATATGATTTAATCATAATTAATTCAATCATGAGGTATGACTAAATGCTTCTCGGCCTTTTGGCTAAGATCAAAGTGTATTATTATTATTATTATCATTAATTTTTGGCTTTTCATAACGGCGGAGTTTTACTTATAATTGGAAGATTGATTTTTGTTAAATAAGGTGTTGAAGGATTTTCGTTTTGATGAAATAAATGTCTGTTAGAAAATTTTTTAAAAGTGATGAACTGTATTTTTCATTTTTTGAGCACCCATTTGAATATGATTTATCGAAATTTAGTCATGACTAACTATATTATGACTAAATTAGACAT